AAAGAGCTTTCCGGACCATTCAAACGGCCAGTCAAAGAGCTGAATTTGTGCGCTCTTCAGTTATTTCCCATATCTGAGAGCTGTGTAGTTTCACTGTGGTAAAGTTAGTAGCTGAACTGAAACATGATATTTCAGAACAATTATTGTTTGATGTTATGTGGTTAAACAACTCTTATAGAAAACTAGTGTTTATTGGACTATAATAAGGTTCCAAAGTGACAAAGGAAAGGTATTTTTTTATTGAAAATTAATACTTTTATTCAGCAAGGATGCTTTAAAATTATCAAAAGTGACAGTTAAGGCATTTATAATGTTACTAAAGATTTCAATTGAAAATAAAGTCCTTGAGAACCTTGAAAAAACTGTTTCAACAAAAATATTAAGCAAAAAATATTGTTAATAATAATAAATTCTAATAAAGCATATTAGAATGATTTCTGAAGGATCATGTGACACTGAAGACTGGAGTAATGATGCTGATTTTTCTTTTTTTTTCTTTTTTTTTTTTGCCATCACATGAATAAATAACATTTTGAAATATATTCAAATAGAATTATTTTTTAAATTGTAATAATATTTCACAATATTAATGTTTTGCTGTATTTTTTATCAAATAAATACAGCCGTGGTGAGCATAAGAAACTTTCAAAAACATTTTTAAAAAATCTTGCCAATCCCAAATATTTGAATTGTATGGATTTATTTAAATAAATAAATAAAACCATGGCCAGTTATAAGTATTTATGGATAATAATACAAATACACACTTTTGTGAGGTGTGGTTAAAAAAAGGTTTTGGACCTTGCTCACAGGTAATGCACAACAACAATTGCTTTAATTCAGGTAATGCACAACAACATACCTGTGCTAAATAAAGATTTTTTTTTCCATATTGAAACACAAACCGATTATACATGAAAAGCGACCAAACAAAAGCACCTGCTTACTCCAGTTGTCATGAAATAGCACGTTAACCAAAAGAAAGGGTGGGAATTTCGTTTGACAGCTTCTAATGGAACAGATTTAAATTATAACATAAAAATATATAATAAACAAACTCTTTCTTTCACTTTCCCCTTTTTCTCTCCATCATGCACAAACATACAGATACACGTTATTTAGTCTATTCATAATATAAAGTGATTTGGTGTGGATTTTGTGGTGGTAGTAACAAAAATGTGTTGAATGAGCATATCTTTTCACACTGAACGTGGCTTTTCAGGATTCAGTGCTGTGGCAAACCTCACAATGTCAGATGTTATCAGTGTGTGTTAAGCGCCATGGAAATGACTTCCGTGTTTACACATGGGAGTTGTATTACTCTCCAAACCTCAAGCACATGCATGTCTAATTCCTCTATAACTGCCATTTAAAAATGTGACAGCACACATTGTAACATGTTCAAACTGGACTTTGTATGAGCCTGGACTTCGAAAGGTTGCCTTGAAATCAAATAAATGACATCGTTTGTTTTAAGTTTGCTAATTTTGAAGCTCACAGCCCATATACATATTTTCTTAAAAGTTTCGTAGTTTTGTAACATTTTGTATCGTCTTTTAATGCTATTCTGTGGTGAGGTAAATACTACAGGAAAAAAACCCTAATGTAATTTCTACATGAAAAAGTTAGTACAGGCAATAATTAAAAAAATAAAGTAAATTCTGTATTAGTACTCAATTCAAGCTTGTAGAAATTAAAGCGTAAATATCAATGTTATAAAATTAAGTCCTTAACTTTTTTTTTGCTTTCAAAATTGACAACATTTAATAAGTAAGTACATCATGAATCCATATTCCAAACCGTGTTTATGTCTTATCCTGAATCACTAAGGTACATACGCCTAAAAAAAGTGTTTATATTCGGACTATTTTAGACAGAGCGGGCTGCGGGACACCAACCGGCGCGGATTAACCCAGTACTACCTACGTGATTCGTCATAGAAATAAACAAAGAGAAGTAGCTCCGGCTACAATGTTCTTCCGAAAGGCTCATGCAGTTGTGTTTATTAACCACTACAGCGCCAAAAGTTACGGACTGCAGCTTTAACTTTTCTGATACTGGTGTTCCCATCACGGACTGCGGCATGAATAAGTAATAAGGTTGATTTTTCGCTTTTTCACACTGTTTTACCATTTCTTTTGTTGTTAGGTTTAGTAACTTGCCATTTTGTGACATATGTTAATTTTCTTCTTAAAATGACACATTCATACTCAAAAACAATCCATCAAATAACGCTATCTCACGACCAATTCGCACGAGTGAGTTCGAGGTGGCTAATTCGTACGATTTGTCTTGTTTAGGTTTAGGGGCGGGGTCACGTGTACACTAGTGTCTTCCAGGTGTACCAAGTATTGAGGTCTCTGTGTTAAAGGGGTCATATAATGCCATTTTTGTACAAGCTAATATGATTCTTTAGGGTCTAAATTAAAACTTTGTAATATACTTTAATTAAAAATTCTCATTAGTATTGTAAGAAAACACTTATTTTACATGGTCAAAAACAGCTCTGTTTTCAGCACGCCGTTTCAGTGCATATGACTTTAAATGATAATGAGCTTTGCTCACCCCGCCTCTCTGTTCTGTGCGTACACCGTTTGTAACACAATAACACAATAACCATAACGCGTTGTTAAGTATAAACGTGGGATTATGAATTATATTGAGAACGTCGTACATAGAAAACATGCCGTAATGTACCCTGAGTGTAAACCTTAGCCGCATTCATTGTGAAGTGTGCAGCTAGCGATTTGCAAAGATATAAATATTAATATAAAGTTTAATAAAACGTTACACTCACTTCCGTTCTTCTGGAGATTCAGCAGGAACACGAATATCTGGTACCGATCCTTTATTCATGGCAGCTTCTTCCTTTATTCGAGCAGCTTCTTAGCAAATCCAGCTTTATACTGATCCTCGTTTATAAAGCAGTCTGGTGTGAAATGATTCGCGCAAACATGAGAGCATTGACGTTGCTCGTGGGGAATATTCCCTTCGAAAACAAAACTCAGCCACTGCGTCTTCAGCGGTTCGGATTTGGGAACATTAAAATGACTGCTGTGTTCGTTATTACACCCAAGAACAGAACACCACTATCGCTTAGACGCCATTCTGCTCATAGACAGTGCTCCAGCATATCAACAATGACCGCGCCGGTCCGCGCAGACTATGATTGACAGCTGGCTCACGAGCGAGGGCGGGTCTGTGTTGAAACACTCCTGTCAATCAACAATCGTGGGAGGGGCGTCCGTTTTATTGACGTCACAAAAACAAACGGCTCAATTTGAGGCAGGGGAAAACATATAAGGAGATTAAAACAAAAACACTATAATTATATGATGGTTGTGTACAGGCACTGCCAACACACATTTCAGTACAATCAACTTGTAAAAGTGCATGTACCATTATATGACCCCTTTAAGGTGCCGCATAACTTCTATTGTGTAGATACCATATCTACACAATAGAAGTTATGCGTAATATCTTTTGTATTATTTACTTAGATGTTTCCAAGCACACACTAAAAGCCTGGTTTAATTCAGTGTTCATTTGTACTTAAACAACATATTACAAAGAATTACAACAAACTTTTACTGGCCAAGTTAAAGTTACTTATTTTCTTTGTTAATTTGACTTAACTGAGTTAAGTAGAGTTTACTTAAAGGGATACTTCACCTCTGGGAAGATGAATGTGAATTTAATATTGGTCATTTATATTATATAGTAGAAATGTGAAATTATTTTTGAAATTGAAGCATTCTAGACTGAGAAAAGGCATAAAATGTATTTTTTTTACTCATGTGGCTGAAAGACAACAACTCCCAGAATACACTTGCTTTGCTGCCCTTACGAGGCCACTCCCAAACCTCGCCTACCGGTTACAGGCGGCAGAATCCGAAAAATGGATACAACTAGGCTTGCTTTGATACATCGTGAGCTATTTGATCAATTTCCATCGAAATGGTGCTAAATTGCGTTGTACCGGGATGTACTAGCCTAATGTATATAACACAACTTAGACTTTCACATTAAAAATATGATGCAAGGCAGGACCATGTCAACAGAGTAGCTTAGTAGCTCTGCATATGAACTGTTTTCCTCCAATTGAAATCACTATTTCTCTAAGCTAATACATTATCTAGGCTAATCCATACTCTAGTAACACTAAAGGTTTATAAAAAGAACCACAACCAATGTGAGTTATAACTTTTAATTAAAAAAAGAATTAATATTAACACTTTTACACTCAAAGCACTGCGGATTCAGCGATCTCGCCCAGAAGAAAAGATTTGCGACAGCAATAGGACTCTATATCTGTTACCATAGGCGCACTGACACCGCCAGTCCGCCCCAGCTCGAGTCTGGCCGGCCTCAGGTCTCGCTCCGGCCGCCTCTTGTTCCTCCATCTCCAGCAACTGTTTATCGCTGTATTGCGGCTCGTACAGGTAGCCGCGAGCATCAGATTCTCGCTACAGATCTTCGAAATCCCCTTCTGCCATTTCAACTTCAAAACTACCTTCCGCCATCGTGATTAGCCTACTATACAAACTTTCTACACAGACCAAGAGGCAAGAGCCTGTTAGCTTAGCTTCTACAGAAATATGGCTGACACTCTCTTTACATTCTGTGGGTGAGATCATATGGGCGTGGTTAAAACATGCGGGACACTGGCTGTAGTCTTTAGCCTCTGGCACAAAAATCCTCCGATGACGCAAAATGACGATTTTTGTGTCATCGGAGGATTTTTTCCAGACTAAAAATGTTTTCTCTCATATCAGGGGGATATGAGGGGGGGGGGGGGGGGGGGGAGCACGGTAATTCGAAAATACTACTGGTTTTCTACTGATACAAAGCTTAATGCTAAATCCTGAAGTATCCCTTTAATTCCATATGTTAAATTTACTTTTAAAATCTGTGTGCAAAAACTTGCGCAAGAAAAGTAAATATTAGTTCTTTTTTTCAGTGAATGAGATTTAACTCTGTTTTCTTTTGTGCGTGTGTAGGTGAGAAGCCATACCGATGCAGCTGGGAAGGATGTGACTGGCGTTTCGCCCGCTCGGATGAACTGACGCGGCATTACCGCAAACACACCGGCGCGAAACCCTTCAAATGCATCGCCTGCAGTCGCTGCTTCTCTCGTTCAGACCACCTGGCACTGCACATGAAGCGCCACCAAAACTAACAGATTTCACATCAACTTTCATAACAGTTTTATTGTTCTAAATATTTCACAGTCATTCACGTATACGAAGATCAAACTAATGAAAGCTCTCCACACATTTTGTCATGAAGAGGACTGGACATCACAGCAAAGAGCTCCAACAGGATGTATACTAATGTACATATGTTTTGTATGTGTTTATGTCTGTAGATTAATGTGAAAAGATGTTATGGATTTTATACTTGACCTCCATCCACTTTGTCTGACTAAATTTGGAAATGTTCCTTCGGGACCGTATAGTGTCTTCCAAATAACTTGAAATGTAAAGTTTGATTTATTAATTCCAAGGTGATAGTTAATTGCTCATTTTAGACAATGCTAGTCTATGCTATTTATATGGAATTTCCCACTCACAAAAAGTTGTTTGCTTTTGGCTAAGATGCTGCGATAAAAAAGAAATGTTTCCTGTTCTCACAGTTGTGTATCCATGGATACAAATCTTTATGAGATTGTAAAAAAGTAGCGCTCAGATCAGTCGACTGTTTGACATTTCGGCTCTTTGTATGACTGTGATGAATGTGAAAAATGAGCTCACAAGAGCCCCATTTGACCATGTGTGCCAAAATTTGTATTTCACACAACAGTTGATTGTTTTATAAAGGTAAGGAACTTAAATAAGTGAAGAGAGTGCGATATGTGGAAAGTTTTGAAACTTCACAACAATCCCTTTCTTTTCCCAAGAACAAATTTGTATTTGTTGTGGACACCGTAGCATTTGCTTTTGTAATGGGCTCCAAGTTGGGTCTTAAAAGTTCTCCAGTTCCCTTTGTACATGTCCTGCTCTTATGAAGGGAACTCTGATGGATCAAAAGGTACTGTACATATACTGTTGTTAAAGTTTAACTACATGTAAATACTTTTCTCTTTGAAGCTGATTGTTTTTATTATGAACAAATGGGAGTTTGCTACATTTGTCTTGAATGTGGGTGAATTGAGTGTGTAGGTCTTGCATACTAAGTGATCAGTTTAACATTTTTATGTAGTAGTTTGAATACAGAATTTTGAAAATAAAAGAATAATCACATTTCATAGCTAGTGTCTTTTCAAAGTGTTCTGTATGTTAACATGCTTCCTTGACTCTGGATGAGTGGAATGACATTTGAATAGTACTTTACAGATATTTCCATGTTATATTTATGAGGGGCAATAGTTCTTGGAACTATATAAGGTGGACTTTTACTTACTCTCTAAGAAATGCTGGGTTAAAATAACCAATGCTACTGACCCAGCTTGTTGGGTATAATACATTAACTCATAGTGCTGGGTCAAACAACCGGATTTTGCATTTATGCATATCATATTGTATGAGACAAGTGGAATCTACTTTTGCAAAATTGGTGTGATGTTCAATTCAGCTCCCGAGATTCAATTGAACATAAATTCCGCTTGTTATTTAGAAACTAGAACGCAGTGTTAGAACGTGACCACAGTCGTCATAAACATTCAAACGAATTTAAACTGTTCAAGCGCAAGAAGACGCAAAAGAAACTCACGTTATCTTGAGTTTGAGAAAAGTTTTATCGCGGTTAAACGGACGAATACACTGAAAATTACGTTAAAATGTCAGTTTTGGTGGGTATCCTCGTAACAGCAGTCTTAAATAAAAAGTCTTAATGAACGTAAACGGTTGGGAAAAAATATAATGTGTATTTCCATGCATTTGTTCTTAAAGTGACAGTAGCTTAAAACTTTGCTCTTTAGTAGTTGCTCTTTTAGTAGCTCTAAAACTTTAATAAGGATTAACATATATCTAATTCATACATTATAGTGTTTTGTATACTGTTAGACCTACCTGAAATCTGTTTGTTTCTACTTTGTTGTATTGTATTTGTGCTTATTGCTAGTCATTTGTTCATAAGTGTCTTTATTTAACGCTATTTAATAAAATACTATTTATTTATTTATTTTTGTGGTGGGGCCAGTGAACATTTTGGCAGGGCAAGTAACCAGTAAACTCCTAATCATTGAGCCCTATGTGTTTATATATAGAGTACCTTTTAAGACCGGCTCCTTTTGTTATAAAAGAAAGTTACAAAACCTGTTACGAAAAAAAAAAAAAAAAATGTTAAAGGAGTCACTTACATCTCAAAGCTGGAGCCAGGCTTTCCACTTGACTATAGGTATTAACTTGTATATTGTTAAACGCTGTATTGTTAAAACAATGAGTCAGCTTGTAAAAAAGAAAATGCACCAACAGTTGTAGTTACCGAAGGACTAAAATTGGGTGGGGAACAACTTTTAGCTGAAACAGAAAACTAATAATTATAGTCTGACAAGATAATTTACAGAATGAAATCCAGCCTACAACAAAAGACGATGACTGATGAGGGGAACACCCATTTACAGCGTGTTCCGTGGAGATGAAAAGATGAAAATATGTAAACCATTTCAAAACAGTGAGCGCTACTGCCCGGAGTAAAAGTAAAACTGTCTTTATTGTTGAGATGGGTATTCTTAAACATATGCCTATTTAAGCCTCGCTCATTCCTGAGGTGTTAACTGTGCTTATCGCGGTAGCGCGAATCCAGTTAAAACTTGCCCCACTTCTTATACCGCTTGATAGAAATGAAGAGACCAGAGATAGACTTTAACATGTCTTGAAAAAAATAATGAAATAACGATATTTCAGATTATTTTAATGTCATCTGTTTTACTTTTGTTCGCTGAAATTGCTGAAGGATCAATGAATGCGCATCGCTCAAAAACCAAGACCTTGTAGGCTACTAACCCTTTTTAGTTCGCTTTACTTAAACCATTTTATTTTGATTTAATTGTAAAAAAAATTGTAATATACTATTCACTTACGATGCCTTTGTGATTTAGAAAATCCAGGTTGAGATTACTTGACTGGTTTCTGTAGGACTTCTATTTTGTCAAGCAAAAGAGTTTGAAGTGGGGCAATTCTTAATAGAATATTCCTCCACTTCTGCACTAATCTTTCTCCCTATAGTTGCCTTTGCTCATTTTCCAGTCATCTTGAATGTTGAATTGTCAATACAACCAACAATTTTGTGAGAACAGCACTTCATAAATTGATGTTGATTTTCTTAAAATGGTTTTGTCACCAACCCTTGTTATGGTGATTTTTGTTCCCTTTGGTTGGGCACTTGGAACTTCATTTATATGACTATAATTATTTTCCATTGATGCAAAAACAAATCAGTTATTTGTGGTTTGTGTCAGTCAATCTCGCTTGAGTCACACAACATTTAACATGTAAATAACAACCAATAAATGAATGTGTAAATTAATAAGACTGACCATTACAAAACAATTTTATTTCCTGTCTTTATTATGCTGGTAATGACACAATACAGCAAATAAAATGGTCAAATAAATCAAAAAGCAATTGCTTATTTGCAATTAACTCTGGGAGTGCAGTGCTACTCAGTAAATTAAGTCAGTAAAACTCAGAATCCAAGTTATAAAAACTTAAATATATTGATAAACTTTATATTTTTCTGAGGCAATAAGTTTTCAAGATTTTTTTCAAGTAAAGTTAACTAATTGAAATGTACTATTGTGTAGCCTATCTCAGGGTCTGTGTTAATCATTATTGCACCAGTTGAGAAGTGAGTGTCATAAAGATTGTGTTTTGACCATAATTTAACCTCCCAGACACTAGGGTAATATATTCTCAGGAACAAACAAAGGAAGAGCACCAGTTCTTATGAACTAAAGTCCTGACCGAGTTACAGTGTTGGACTTTGACTTTAATGGTTAGACCATGCCGGGCAATTTTATTGACAAAATGATAAAATATTTCTTCATAATACATATTTACCTATTTGATACTAGTGGAATGATAAGACTTTAAAAGAGTCCACCGCACAATGCTTTGACATGAGCTGTTACACATATGCACCTGCACCACTAGAGGGCGCCACACCGCTGCAGTCGCTGAACCCGAAACATCAGCAGAACATCTCAGCACCGTCTCATGGTTACACAGCAAATTTCTTGAATACATTGACCGCTGGATTGTTTTATTAAGGCCATTCATATATTAAACACACAAAATGAGTATATTAACCCTCGGGTATAGTGTTTTGAGTGAGATTGATACCAAAAGTGAGGGACTTGCCAAACATAAATCAAAGATGTTGATCCATAGGAACACGTCGTACTTTCGTCTTAATAAATTAGTCACCTTTAAAAGGGTAGTTCACCCAAAAATTCATATTCCGTCATCATTTACTCACCCTCATGTTGTTCCAAACCTGTATGGGTTTCTTTCTTCAGCTGAACACAAAAGAAGATATTTTGAAAAATGTTGGAAACCAGACAGTTGATGTAAACCATAGAGTGGCGCAGGTGTGACATCACTTTGTTGGCCAAAACGCTGAGGCAAGTGAGCATTTTAGCACTTCCGGTTTCATCTTCCAGAAGTCAATGTTTTTTTGGGGGGGTTTTTATGGGGTTTTAGTTAAATGGCTGAAACAAGGTCTGTGGGGAACACAATCTCAAGACACTTTCACGTTTAATTCTACAACATAAAATACATCAATATTACCCCACTCATGATTTTTTTGAAGCTGCGCTAAAATGCTCACTTGCCTCAGCGTCATCACGCCGAAAACTCAGTCCGCTTTTACAGCATCGTTATGCTTATAATTGTGCACTTACAAACTATTCTTACTCAAACGTTCTGGGATGTTTTTAGATTTAAAAAAAAAGCTTAGCTTGTCGGAAGCTTAGTGGTGGTGACGTTGGTTGAAGTCGTGGGACCGTGGTGTAGTTCGTTTATACACTACCTTAAGCTTTTTACTTCTGGCGACTGCATTTAGGCTTCAAAATTTATAAAAGTTGTGTTCATCTGTGATAATAATCTTGATGGACAAAATGTGCAAGTATCATACACTTTTGTTGATCACAGAGCTTGTTTTTAGCGATAATCCAAAAGCCTACGGGAAAATCCTATTGGGTTTTTGTCGAGGGAACCAGCATGATGCTAACTGCCGGTTGGCCTACAAAGTGACGTCATACCTGCACCACTCTATAGACTTCCATAGTAGGAAAAAAAAAATACTATGGAAGTCAATGGGTACCGTCAACTGTCTGGTTAGTGGTCACCAACATTCTTCAAAATATCTACTTTTGTGTTTAACAGAGGAAAGAAACTCAGGTTTGGAACAACTTGATGACAGTAAATGATGACAGAATTCACATTATTGGATGTTCAAGAGACAGATCATAATGAAATGGGCATGGGGTCCATTTTTGTTGGAAATACTGTTATAAAACTATTAGGGGGAAAAAAATAGACAGGACTGGAATAACACACAATGCACCGTGTTGCACCAAAACATTTTATTCTATAAAAGGAGTGGGTAATCACAACTGTACAAGGGAAACTGACTTTTAACACCATTTCTCACAGTATCAAAAAGCTCGTGTTTTCCTCGCTGATCTTTACAGACTTGTTCTGTACAAATACAAAAGAAATAACATTAATTACTTGTTTTGTTATAATGATAACTGCATTGCACTGAGTAATATAGTACTGGCCCATAAGTTACTGCATTCAATATAAAATACCTATGATTCTGAAAGTTTAAAAGAGAATTTAAATGATAACCACACTTGCACACATACACATACACTCACACGAAACCCAAACTCTTTCATGATTTGAGCACAAGGTCGCACACTATTTTAAACAAATCATATGCAAGTAATGAAAGCAAACATACTTTTAGATAGACAAGCATGTCACAAGATTCAGTCGTGGGCACTTCAACATTGATAAGAGGCTGACTCCTAACATTACGCCATCTTGGAATACAATAATTTCAATTTAGGATGGTATGAAGGTACATGTTTTACCAGCATGTCTTGTAGTAGTTATAAATAGGCCATGCATATGCTACGAATGGCCATGGTTGCACACATTTCATGTGGATTATCAGTGCTTATAGGCCACATCTGTCAGGGCACCAACGCTTTGACATGCTCACCGACTTCACAAAGAAAACTCTACTCTCCATGCAACACTTTAGGGGTGTACAACACATTAGGGACTCATTTCAAGGGATAAAAAAAAAGAAGATTCAAAGAAACAACAAAAAAAAAGAGAAAGAAAACGAGTATTTCACATTATCTAGTCAGTGTTAAAAATAGAAATCCACCCGTTACATTTATTCAAGAACTTTGTAGATTATATACAGTATGTACATTAACTCTTTAATTATTCATTGTCTGTAAGTCTATGAACAGTTTTTAAAAAAAGAAAGGGATCGCAATCAAATGCATATACTCTTCTAGAAAGATGTGCTTAGTAACTTTGAGTTGAAGCAAGAGAACAATACAAAATCTTACGACTACATTGCTCTCTGGACCAAATATCGTGCAGCTGCTGCAGACATGCACTTAACTCTCAAAGGCTGGAATCGAACAAGCGTTTCTTCTGAAAAAAAAAGGCATAATGCGCACTTAATCAGCTGCTAGCGATTGAAATTATGACCATGGCAATGAGTGCTAGTTAGAGGGAAGTGGTGTCCAGGATACCCTCTCCTCGCAGATTTACATGGACTCATGTACAACATTTTCATAATATCTCTGTCCAATAACTTAAACATATTTTGGGTGGTTGAGGGGGTATTTTTGCATATCATGCATATCAGGGCAGGAGCTGTTAAGACATGTCTGTCACTGTGAACTAGGTGCAAATAGGGATTTTCAGGGTGCCTCACAAAAATAGGGGTCCCAGTATCGAACCAGATTTGCACGTTTACTTCAATTAAGGCTCTGATGGGCTAGAAGTAACAATGCATCTAGACATCTGTACTATTATATCTCTGATTATGTCTTTTGTTTTTTACAAATATGCAAACAAGTGTGCTTATACACAGACATACACACACACACACACATACCAATTTTAGTAAGCCCCCCCCCCCCCCTTTCCCTGCCAGCTATGCTGCTTTTTTTTTTTTAAATGTTTTTTTTTTCACAGCCTTATGAAATAATATCTGAATGTTAGATTAACACCCATCAAAAGGTGTTCTTTATGTTAGATGCCATTATTGGCAATAAAAATGTCTTTTAAAAAAACAAAAAGAAATACTGTTTTTTTGCGCCAAACTATTTTTGGGAAGATGCTTAGACAACAGATACTAATCAAGAAAAAATATTTTACAAAAATTCACAGTCTTGTCAGCCCCCTGCCTCTACTTCTCATTTGGGTTAGGGTAGATATAAAAACTGATTTGTTAAATAAAATTTAAAACAAATGTAAAACAAGGGAACATCTTCAATGCGCTCTACGTTAACTTCCATCCACACAGAAACGTACAGGCCCTAAGATGCATGTAGAGCTTGTGTATACAAATTTAGGACAACAAAAAGTTCGGATAAAACGTAAGAATTCAACTAGGCAGCTGTAGATGTATCTCCAACCCACCTATCTCATTAAAATGACTAAATTTATTACATAACTTTACTTTTTCCAAACCATCTTGCATAAAATCCTTTGCTTTCATCTTTTTCTAACTTTCAACAACTCTCAATAAGGGGTACCTTCCCCAATCTTCACTCTCTGCTTATAGCAGTGGTGCGTGCGGTTTGCCTTTCGTGTAGTCCCTTCAAGTATTGGCTAATGATCAGGCATGCATCTAGACATCTGTACTAGATGAAGGTGGAGGTCACCAGTGGACGGGTGGTTTGTGGCGTTTAGAAGCTTAGCTGAAAACTGCAGTCATGTTCTGACCAGGAGGGGTAACCAATATGATTGCGCCACCCTTTCTCCATACCCAACACATGTTCTTATCCGGAGACTGGGGAGGTGACGTCACCATCGTTTGGGCTCCCCAGATGGGCGCGCATGTCTCCTGAGGAGCAGGCAGGGAGGTGAGGGCTGGGGAGGGTGGCGGGAAAAGTGTTTCACATCATGACGTGGCGCCGTCGGTGAAGTGCCAGGTGGTCAGAGCGGGAGAAGCTGCGGTCGCAGTCGGTGCAGCGAAAGGGTTTGATGCCGGTGTGCTTGCGAAAGTGTCGCGTCAGCTCGTCCGAACGGGCAAAGCGCCAGGTACAGCCCTCCCATGTGCACTGGTACGGCTTTTCACCTGTAAAAACATCACGTCAATCAATATGCCTGATATATATATATAAATTTATACACACTATTGTTCAAAAGTTTGGGTCGATGTCTAATGCTCACCAATGCTGCTTTTATTTACTCAAAAAGAAAGTAATATTGTGAAATGTCACAATATAAAATTCTATTTAAATATAATTTAAAATGTATTTTTGTGATGGCGAAGCTGAATTTTCAGCATTACTACTTCAGTTTTCAGTGTCATATGATCCTTCAGAAATGATTCAAATATGCTGATTTGGTAATCAGGAAACATTTCTTAAAGTCCCCTTGTGGTGAAAATCAAGCTTTTAAATGTTGTTTATATGTCTATGTGGTGTTTTTAATATGCTTTAGGGTTAGGGTACAAACCATGTGCAAATTCATAAGTCAACACCATTGCTAAGTATTTTCTCTTTAAAACTGCAGTGAACCAAAGATGCGGTGTTTGAAATCGCTGGTGTGTCTGATGCAACAAACTGCCTTGTAACCAATCACGTCAATGTGTGATCATCAAAGAGTGAATCTCTGAGCTGGTGTGAGTGAGTGGAGGTGGGGCTAATTTACATATTCATAGAACCGCGTATACATATAATGAGGCCAGGGTGAAGAGTTACATTCAAGCTATTTTAAGGCATGAAGATTTTTTTTTTAAGGAAAAAGTTTAAATATGTAATTTTTGGTGATCAAATAGAGTTTCAAATTAGAGTACCTCTGCACATACTAACCTAGAATACTGTCTAACAATTGATGGCTGCTCTGTCAAGTCTTCTTCGTCGGTTAGGAACCTGGGTGTGCTTTTTGATACCAATCTTTCATTTGAAAGTCACGTGTCAAGCATCTGTAAAACTGCATTCTTCCATCTTAAAAATATATCTAAATTGCGTCATATGCTTTCAATGAAAAATGCGGAACAGTTAGTTCATGCGTTCATGACCTCAAGGCTAGATTATTGTAATGCTCTACTGGGTGGTTGCCCTGCACGCTTAACAAACAAACTTCAGCTGGTCCAAAACGCAGCAGCTCGAGTTCTTACCAGAACCAGGAAGTATGACCATATTAGCCCGGTTCTGTCAACACTGCATTGGCTCCCTATTAAACAGCGTATAAATTTTTAAATATTGCTGATTACTTACAAAGTACTAAATGGTTTAACTCCGCAGTACTTGAGCGAGCTCTTAACGCATTATAGTCCTTAACGTCTATTGTGATTTCAAAACTCAGGCCAGTTGTTAATACCTAGAATATCAAAATCGACTGCAGGCGGTAGATCCTTTTCCTATTTAGCACCAAAACTCTGCTTCCCGGACAATGTTAGGAAGACTGTTCCAGACACACTCTGTCAGTTCAAATCTAGACTAAAAACACATCTCTTTAACCTGGCATATACAAAAAAAATTATACATTCCTATTATTAAAATCAGTTAAATGATTATTAGGCTGCGTAAGTTACGTCAGCCGGAACCGGGAACACTTCCTATAACACCCGATGTACCCGTTACGGTATGGTCTCGGTATGCTTTTAAACGAACTCTGGAGCAGTTCGTTTGTGGTGAGAACGTGATCCGACCTCGAACAGACCCAACTGCCGAAGAACTGCGCATTTTTGGACTAAACCAGCTGCCGTAGTCAAACAAAATGATTATTTAGGTTGTCAATAGCGCTCCCTTTAAGCCATGACTGACTTACCGCGTTCTGCACTCTCACTAAAACTCTCATCATAAACATAAAAAGTTGTCCACACTGCACAGTGAATCTCTTATTTATATCGCGTCTAGACTTTGTCGTCTATGAGGGGATTTGCGAAAGGATAAAGCTCGTGCTGATTCTGAACATACATTGTGAGCGAATTCTAGGGAATTCTCATGTCTGCCGGATTTTCCTCCTCTTTGTTTACTTCCGGGAGTTCTTTTGGAATTTTCCCGCACGTTAATTCTGACCAATCGAAGTGCAGTTGTGGAAATATGTTCAAGAAACATCTGGCCAACAAGTGATGTGGATGTTGTCACGTGACTGCATTTTGATTCGTTTCATCAACTCATCAACTGATTCGGACCAAAGCAATCAGTGTGGTGTGAAAAGGAACCAAAACGCCTGAAAATGATACAAAGTATCATTTTTCGCCCTTAGTCCGGAGCAAATGAACCAAACTACAGATGCGAAAGCACCCTAAGGTTCACTTGCCACTGTCGCCTTTTTCCACCTTTGTTGCCATTGGCTTGGCTTGCTTAGTTGGGGACATTAAATTGAACATTTAATTTAATATTCAAAAATAATATTGATCTGCCTGCATTGACACTATTATACAAGAAATGAACTGAGCTGGACGATGACATCACGGTTTTCTCCAGAGCGGCTATATACATAAATTAACTAAATTAATAACTTTTTTAAAACAAAAATGAAACATCACTGAACTTACTTAAGCTGGACTGTGATGCTATTTTCTTCTGGAAACAAACTTTGTTGTATTATTTTCCTGTTATCTCTGTGAAGCTGCTTTGAAACAATCTGTATTGTAAAAAGCGCTATATAAATAAATGTGACTAATCAAAGATGAGTTGATAGTGAAGTGATAAAACAGAGGGACTTTAATATCATCAATGTTGAAAACATTGTAATAGCCGTTTAATATTTTTGTGGAAACTGATATATTTTAAAAATATATATATATTTTAATTTAAAAGCACAGCATTTATGTGAAATATAATCGTTTTTAACTTCATAAATCAAATTCTTTAGTCACTTTTTATCAATTTAATGCATTCTTGCTGAATAACAGCATTAATTAATTTCAAAAGTACATATCTTACAGACCCCAAATTACAACCCTAACCATATATATATATAGGTAGATAGATATTATACAAATCATTTCTATAAGTTTTATAAATAAATTACAATTCTGCCAAAAATAACGGCAGAAAAAGGCATACCTGTGTGTATTCTCCGGTGGGCTTTCAGATGCGAGCTCTTGGTGTAGACTTTGTTGCAGCCGTCATAATCGCACATGTGCACACGTCTTCTCTTCATGTCCGGCGAGTCGGGGTCAACTTGGATGTCCACATCTGTATTCATACTAGGAACAAAACGTGAAACGTTTTCGCTATTAGGGTGTGGCGATCAATTCAACCCATACCAAACCTATCCCTGGATTATCTAAAGATTAAGAGCGCATTTGAGCATGTCAAGGCAGGTACAAACATTCAGCATGATCTTCATGAATAAAACAGAGTAATCCATCACTTGGATTACAGTGATCAAATTAGATCAGTGATAGAATAAAAACTTTTACTGCAACACTCTTAACCCTATAAAGCCAATAGTATGATATTCGATACTCAAATTTTTAAGGCCTCTAAATTATCAACATGATCAAAAACCTGAAAAATTTTTACATATTGGTCACAAGAAACTGGAGGGTGAGTGTCACAGAAAGGTAATACCAAGTCTCCAGATGAATCACCCCTTCTTCAGGGAAATTTTATCAACTTGACATTTCACTAGTTTTAAGTAACATTTCAAAGTGCAGTGTTTTAGACCTGTGGCGCTTTCCCCTTCTACTTCTTCTGTATAGACTCAGCTCTAATCGAAAACAAAGGCACAAAGCCCCGTTAAAAAAAGATGATAAAAATAAGTGGACTGTGTATTTTATTTGCCATTACATAGTTTCATGTTTGGCTTGGGACTTCACATTTATCTGACAACAAGAGAAAGGCCAATAGTGATGTAATCAAATTAGTGATGTAAAAACCAATAGTGATGTGATCAAATATGTGCCTCTAATTTATATGCATGTGTAAAATAACCTAGCTGTATAAAAACACTACCTAAAATGATTCTAGCATCACAGAATTATAGATGTAAATGGCACCATTACGACCCCTAGAGCAACAATCCAAACTGGCCAGCAGGGAGAGCTAAAGAGCAAGTGTGTGTGTGTGTGTGTGTGTGTGTGTGTGTGTGTGTGTGTGTGTGTGTGTGTGTGTGTGTGTGTGTGTGTGTGTGTGTGTGTGTGTGTGTGTGTGTGTGTGTGTGTGTGTTTGCGTGTGTATCTAAATTCCATACAGCTGGAGAGCTTCCAGTTCAATGCCGATCTCTCTCCCTTTCCCTTCCTGCTCCAATCCCCCTCCCCCTGCCATGTTTTTTTTTTCAGCCCATCTCTTTCTCCCCTCCTTTCCTTCCTCTCTCTTTCTCAGCCTCTTCCTTTCCCCTCCCTGGCTGCAAACCAGTTCACTCCCTTTCTCACCCCCCAACTCATTTCCATTGGATTTCTCTCTCCCAGCAATCATCTGACCGCATGTCCGAACAATTATACACACACTGGCAAAAGACCCTCTTGCTCTCCATCCTGCCCTGTCACCCTGCCACTTCTGTTTGTCCTTCTTTGCATTTTACTCCCTCTTTCAAAGGTGTGACGACATTGCAAGTTATGTAACATTGTTTACACCCAGTTTGGAGAGAACCCTGCCCAGCAACACACACACACCCAACAGAAGAGGATGCATCCAGCTTGAAATCAACGCACAGAAGAGCCATGGGCCTCCAGTGTGTTGAAGGTTACATAATCATCCAGAGGAGTGGGGTAGTGATGCCATTAGACCAGGATGTTAGTTACACTACCACACACTGTACATATCCCGGGATTGAGATATTCAGATGTATATGGGATATGGGATCTCTCTCTCACCTGGGATCCATCCCTTGCGTGCTGAAAGAGGCCGATCCAGACTCTGTGCCGCTTTCAGCATCACTGTCAGACTGAAACTCCACTGGAGAGGTTGAGCCTGGCTTTATACGCACTGAAATGACAGATATAAAAGAAAACAAACGAACTTTGAGTGAAATGCTGAATTGAAAAATCAACATGAATTTTGACATATTTAAGTGTTTAACCCTTTAATGACAATAATTGTATATTATTAAAGTGCCACTATTATACTATTTTTAAAGGTTCCTAATTTTGTTTTCTCCTACAATATGTCGTTTACATGCATCCAAGGTCAAAAAACAGTTTAATTTTCTCATAAAATACATTGCAGCATCACCACTTTTCTCACAGTGTCTGAAACGTTCGATAAATGATTCGGTCTCTCTAAACGCCACCTTTCCGAGAGCCTACTCTGCTCTTACTGGTCAGATGGCACAGTCTGTTGTGATTGGTCGACTGCTTACAGCACGTGTCGGAAACTAAACACATCTCTTATCCATATCTGAATTTCAGCGCTTTCTCAAAACTTGTTTACACAGTAAAACAGTCAAAATGGCGTCAGTTTTACTGTGGCGTCAATTCGAGCGCGAGTCATCCTTTGGAAGTGCATTTTATTTTGCTCTCACAGCACGTAAAACAGTGTCTTCTTGAATAACATGTCGACAACATGAACCAAAATCTTTCAGGCTTTAGCTACAACAGCAGTGTTTGAGGACGGGTCAAAGTAGATGTGTTTAACAGGCAGCCAATGAAGACAATAGGGAGACATTGTGTAAACCTAAAAGATGTTTACACAGACTTTTCACTCTCTTTTTTTAGAGGTAGCATAAACTGGCCTTACTTAACCAGTTAGTTTCATTGAAATTATAGTTATTAATTTTTTTAAAAAATATTTATTTAACTATAATAACCTTGGCCTTTACATATTAACTATTATTTTTGTAAAATACAAATTATTTTTGTAAAATACAACAATGAGCATTTTTACTGTATCCATCCATCAACAAATGTCATTAATTCTATTTATTAAAACCAAGTATAAATCTCATCAAGTTAATGTTTTTAAGCATTTTTACATTTATTCCGAAACAACTAAAGGCTGTAACAATTTAAACAATATCTGTGAACTGATGTTCAATAGTCAACTTTCAAATCATCAGTCATCAAGCTCTGTATACACTTCTCACAGACGTCATGAAGATGCACCTTTAATTTCACCAAGCGAATTGCTCTCTAAAAAAACCATCGTTACGCTAGATAAGACCCTTATTCCTCGGCTGGGATCGTATATAGCCCTTTGAAGCTGCACTGAAACTGCAATTTGGACCTTCAACCCATTGGTTGCCATTGAAGTCCACTATATGGAGAAAAATCCTGGAACGTTTTCCTCAAAAAACGTCATTTCTTTTCGACTGAGGAAAGAAAGACAGACATAAACATCTTGGATGACATGGGGCTGAGTAAATTATAGGGGTGTAAATATTAATCGATTCGTATCGATCCATCGATTATACAGCCGCCGATTCGATGCATCCGCAAGAGTATCGATTAATGTGTTTATTTCGCCGCCTGTCTATTTTCAGCATCAGCTCCGACATATGCGTACAACCTATTTCTAAGCTGCGGGTGGCGCTAACCTCATTATTGTCTTCTACTTCACACGCGTTACTTACGTTTCACAGTCTATCTATGTTCACACACATTGTTGAGTCTGACTTTCAAGAGCGATGGAACCGTCAGAGCGAGCTGGCAATGAAAGTGAAATGTTACACACAGGATGAAGAAATAGAGAAGAAAAATGTTCCATGTGGGTGTGGCTAATTGAGTATTGGGTTGATATCTCTTAACGTGACCTTTAACCACCGACAGAGGAGATGATTTGGAGATGCCCAGGAGTTTGCAAAGACTATCTTCTAAATGAAAGGAGGAAGGGGGCTGCCCATTCATTAATTGTCTACTCTCCCTAAACCCAATTGTCCCAAGTTACTCAAAAGAAAGAAAGAAAAAACATCTACAGAGATACTTAATCTACAGCCTCTCATTGGAGACAACATGGGGTGCTATGGGCCTGTTCAATAAAGCATGCGGAGTCCTCCACCTCGGTAGTTTTCCCATAAATTGAATCCAAAAGAAACTGATCTACATTATGATTTCTTTGAAGATGAACCCCACCCAAATAACACAATTTACTGACCTTCATAATCTCTCCAATACATTACTTGGTTTCAAAGAGCTACATACAAAGTTAATAACCGAAAACAAAAGGAGCCAAACACAACTCCTCCCTGAGTTTAAACTTCGGGGTTGAATCAGTGTGTTAAACAAGCATTAGCATTTTTTTCCATAGTGTTATTTGGGTGGAGTTCTCCCATTAAAAAACATTCAGTAAATTTTATTCATTTTTGGTGTGTTTTAATGTTCTTATTACGGTCCAAGACCTGCATGATGTCTTTCAGGGGAGACAGAAAGCTCTGATATTAAAAGGGCAATGGTAAGGAAAAGACCCAGGCGGAACAAACCATTTCATTCTTTAGAAAATGGGGCAGTCGTGGCCCAATGGATAAAGAGACTGGTAATCCGAAGGTTGCGGGTTCGATTCTCAAGGCACCTAAACCCCAATCGCTCGCTCCCCGGGCGCCACAGCAAAATGGCTGCCCACTGTGTGTGTGTGTTCCCTACTCACTGCTTCTAATGTGAGTACTATTCACTAACTTGAATGGGTTAAATTCAGAGGACAAATTCGGAGTATGGGTTACCATTCTTGGCCTTGGGTTACATCACCTCAAAAAGAGGGGTGAAGCAAAGGTTCTTTCAAAAAATATATTACAGTTTAATACTTAGTCTAAGGGATTTGTTTGAAATCCCCAAAGACTTTATTGATACAAAGACAGTGCACTTATATCACTATGAATGGAGAACGTGCAACGCGCAATAAGGTGGAAAAATCCCGGAAAGGTGGAAATTATTCCTTCTAAATAAAAGAACCAGTCGGCATTTGGTAAAGTTATTGCTTTTGGTTCTATAAAAACAGTCAGTGTTCTGAGACGCACATGTGCATTGACTGGACCATTCTGAAAAATCCAGTTTTCGGTCATGATTTGAGCATTTAGAAACTAAATGAATGAGGTCGTCAGATTTCATTGGTGATTTCAAATATGAAATTTAATCATCAGCTTAGTGAGCAGCTTTAGAGAATTTGATGTTTCCAATTACAAAAAGATAGGAGCTGTTCCAAAGATGGCCACCGAGGGAAATGACTTGCCTTAAATCGATAACCCCAAGTATGAGCAATAGTAATAATACAAGACCACTAATTACCATTGTAACTATGGAATTGAGGGAAAACTGTGGTAAAGTTTTATAATTTGTCCTGCTTAAAAGTTAAATGCTATGTCAAAAGATGATGAAACAAGTCCATGTTCCAATGTTTCTTTAAAAAAAAAAGAACCTTTTTTTCAATCAGAAACCTAAGGAAAACCCTTTTCGTGAGTGAAACTGTAACATGGCCTGTACTTGTATTGCTTTTAAATAAAGGCCAAAAAAAAATTGAGTTTCAAAAGTTTCATTATCTCCTTTAATTAAAAGTTTAAGCTTGTTTCTGCCTCACCCTGAAATCCTCTTTTGTGTCTTTTATACGCACATCTATATGTGTGGGAAGAAGCTGCGTCTGAACACAGATAACTAAACGGCAATTGCACGAAACTGTAAAAGGGCGAGACCAAGGGTGTGACCACCTAAAAGAAACGGGTAGAGCTAAAGGAGAGAAGATCAGCAGTACCATATGAACAGTTTTAAATAGAGGAGACAAGATTCGTCCCAGGCTCATATTTGCATTCTTACTTTTGACCAACTTCAAAATGCCACTTAAAACAAAACATTTGTACTTGCGAGAGCATGCCACTCTCAATGTGATTTGAACTCCTTAACTGGTTCTTTAGTAGTTGAGGATTAAAAAAAATAAGGAAAATAAGACTTATTGGAGCCTGTCAAATGACAAATGATTAGATTTTTAATTAAGACGTCAACAAAACAGCAAGAACGAGAGCTGTTAAAGTTAATGATGCAGTTAAAAGGGTAATTAAAGGGATAGTTCACCCAAAAATTTAAATCTTTCATGCAGGTTTGGAACAACATGAGGGTGAGTAAATGATGGCAGATTCTTTTTTTTTGTTTTGTTTTTTGGGTGAACTACCCTTTAACACCCTTTTACCAGCATTAACAGATTCGTTAAATTTGACATTATAACTTCTGGATTCTGTTCTCTATGGTTTATAAAAACTGATCTGAACCTTCAGAGATGATTGGAACTGATGTAAGATTACATCTATAAAGTGTAGGGAAAGTTTTATCATTGAATTAATGCAGATTTAATTACAGCATACACCGCTGTTAAAAAATGTGGGGTCCTTTTATGTTTTTTTGTTTTCTTAACTGTAATATTGTGAAATATTATTACAATTAAATAACTTTTATTTTAATATGGTAGAGTGCATATTGTTTTTCCTTAAAAAAATAAACTCAAATGTTTAAACTATGAAAATATTATGATAAATAAAATGTAAATATTTAATCAAATTATACTTTGTATATTATTAATTATTATTTTATATTTTAATTTAATTAAATATTTGATCGATTCACAGTTCTGGTAACAAACAAGTCAAATTAATTACACAATTAATCGTGATTAATCGCATACAAAATAAAAGTTTGTGTTTACATAATACAAATGTATTGTGTGTACTGTATATAATTATTTATATACACACACACACGCATGTATATTTTTGAGAAATATTTGCATTTATATACTGTATATATAGCCCTATATATATATATATAATTTATATTATAAATATAAATATTTTATATATAAATAACTTTTTTTTTTTAATATATACATGCATGTGTGTGTATTCATAAATACAAAATAATTATACACAGTACACACATATATTATGTAAACACAAAACACACATGAAAAGGTTTTTACACTGACTTTTACCATTAATGACTCATGCTTAAAAGCTACTACACTGTACTACTACTGTAGCTATTATACAGATGTATGTGGTTTTAAGCTGATTCTATATCTCTTTCAGTTCAAAAGGTCAGAGCGCACGGCCATCTCACCTGATCCCTCCGACCGGCCGTCGCTCCCGATGAGAGGTACAGTGATGGCGGCGGTGGCCACTCCATCCGTGGGTACGGTTGTATAGACCACCGGTAAGGATTGCACCACCACGGGGATGGTCTGCAGCTGCCCCATCTTACTGGGCATGCTCACAGAGGGTATGGTGTGGATGACATGGAGGATCTGTTGACCTCCGACCCCTTGCGTGGACGCCAGTATGGAGCCCGCCGACAGCACCGCCGGGATGGTGGCGCTTATGTTCTGGAGAGTCGGGTTTGCAGGGGTGGAGGTCGTCGTGGCTATCGGGAGGGAGGGGCGGGGCTTGTTGAGAGACAGGTCCACTGGTTCCGTCTGGTCGTCATCGTTGTGTCGGGCGCTGATGTCACAGAGCGGAGGGGGGGAGGATTTGATTTTGAGGTCTGTGGGCTCAGGAAAATCGTCTAATGGCTCTTCTTTCTGTAGAGGCAGAAAAATAGAAGAAAATTTGACGAAAACGAGGGTATAAGGGAGATAAGGAAGGAATATGGAAGAGCAAACGAGGTGAGGAAGGAGATTAGGAGGGACGGAAAGGAAAGGGAGGGTACAGAGCAGAAGCTCCACAAAACACATGGACAATGGCTGGCCAGATTGGGCAGAGGAGAAGGCCTGAAACTGGCACGAGTCCAGCTCAACAGCCAAATGTCGACACTCCCATTTATACACACAGTCAAAGCAAAGATCTGTGTGTGCATGTGCACAAGCTACACCCACTAAACTCCCTCTGCAGTAAGACTCATAACAAACCTCTTTTGGTAAAGGTAATAAAACAAATGGAACGTTTGAAAGCAATTCTTGAATGATGCCTCATGCAAACAGAGATGTTAGTGTGTTTTTAGCGCCAGCAAGGGAACAGTCAACTTAAAAACGCTAACTTGTGGTGCTTGTTTGTGAAAAACTTACTGCCATGATGCTAGGAATTCGTAGGTGGTTGTCAGGGCATTGCTATGTGGTTGTAGCCTGGGAAAACCCAGACAATTCCGGCAAATTTAGATTTGCTCTGAAAGTTAGTCTGGCAAAGAGCTCATTCAAGCCCATTTCCAATCCGTCGAAATCGAGGCACCAATCAGAAACGTTGGGGCGGGCTTTACACGATGACGACAGCGCTGGGATTTTGAAGCAGATTTTGTAGCATACATTACAAAGATGGATGCCGCCGTCGAACATCACTCGTTCGAATCAGCTATCGCGTCTGTTTTAAGCGATTTGAACGTTTCCTTTTTGTTAAAAACCGAGCAAAGAACAACACTCGGAGATGTTTCTCCGCCGCTCTGCATACGTCATCTCCTTCATCGCTCTGATTGGTTTTAGGTCTATCCGCGACGTCCGTTGGTGACGCCCCTCTGGAAATGATTTGTCTATGACGCTTTGGTTTTAACCAGGCTAATGTGGTTGCTAAGGTGTTCAGCGTGACTTTTAGCACATTGTTTTGCATTGTTTCTGGGTCTATATACACTATTCAGACTATTCAAAATAGTTTTTTCATAGGCATTAATTAAACATTTTTCAGCCTAATATTTTCTCCAATGGCGGCAGTCTACTTTTTAACCCTTGCATGCATGAATGTTTCGCCAATCATTATTAATTTTCGGGTCTTTAGCGAGCCGTATCTATATCTAGCATGGATGGATATCTACCTGATGCGGTAATATAAAACTCTCCTGATATTAGAGTAACAATTACAGAAAAATAAAATAAAGTATATTTTGTTACCTTTTGGAGCTTTGGGAGGGTTCAGTTTGAGCAGAGGTTTTATACCATCATCACTGTAATCATCAGAGCTCATTCCCGTATTCAGCATCTAGCTCATATTCACGATCTCAAACATATTCTCAAAACCACCATTTTCAACATCTTCAAAATCAATATTTTGATCGCTGACAGCTTCTTCACCAGATCCACCATCTAGTGACAGTGACACTAATATTTGATTGCGTTCAGTACTTGCTCTGCAGTAAATCACTGAGCCATTTCAAGTTTTGCTGATGATACTTTCTATTCTTTTGTTCTCTGCCTGTGGTAACTATGAGTGAAATGTCACTTCATCATTGTGTATCAGACCAATCTAAATACAATTTTGTATTTAATCCTTGAGAGCCTGATTACAAAAACAAAAGTCTCACCATTAAAAGCCATGTCCCAAGCACACAATTATAATATTCTCATTTTTAATTGTATATAGCCTATATGATAGACTTGCGCTGCACATGCTGTATCTTATATTCAAGTGATTCCAAATACATCATGGCGAACCGAAGGAAATAATCCATTATCAGCTGTAATAAAGCGGCCAAATTTTCTCATCGGGCAGTTAACGATAACATCAAAAATGTACATATATCGGCCGATAAAGATATTGTGGCCGATATATCGTGCATCCCTACTTAATAAAGTTTTTGTCAATTTGTTGTAATTTAAAGGTGACGCATGTATGATTTTTTATGTTAAAATACATTCTCTTAACCGAGTTTATTGTTCATTGACTACTTTTGGTATGGGCTTATCTCCTCCAAAAGTGTAAACATTGAGCCTCCCAAACACAATGAGAGCGGTCTGCTCAGATCTGTCAATCTCTTTCCAGCTCAACCAATAGAGTTTGAGGCTTGGCTACTGTAGCAGGAAGAGCCAGAGGGTGTTTAGCTGGTGTGGGACCAAAGCTGACGCATTACATGGGAAAAGACATTCAACTTTGGTTGCAGAAATGCAAGCTAAAATTAAACAGATTTTGAAAATGTCAAAGCAAATGGGGCATTGCAATCCAACACACTACAATGGACGGCACGCTTCAGTACCATACAGCATCATCATGTACTCATTCAGAAAGACCAATGTACCACTTTATAGTCTTAGCCTTAGCCTTCTCAATTGTTTACTTATGACATATAGCAACACAGCTAAAAGTATTCAGAATATGTTGGACCTTTATTGAAAGTAGCCTACTTTTTTACCTGTGCGAAAGGAGCGCTTGCAAGGTTGTTTGAAAATATACCATTTGTGTAATGCTGCTAGGTGCCACTCACAGAAACTACATTCTTCATCTTTAATAAGGTCTTTCGACCTGTGGCATCCACACAAAGTAATAAAGATGCCTGGCTTTTGAAATAACATGCTTAAATGAGATCAAAAACATAAGCAGCATGGCAAATTTTTATGACGTCCAACAATAAAAAGCAATAAAAAAGACGGTGGGTGGTTGACATAAGCCTGAAAAAAGTTTTTTTTTTTTTTATTCAAATATTAGGCATACAAAATATTGAGTTGTGTTGTACTGACTCTTGAATTTCCAAAAATATATGTGGTCTTTTAAATTTTGCATTGCAAATAATTGGATTTATTCACCAATGTTGCATTCGTGCCTAAAATTGTCATATGGTGTGACCGTTATTCTATATAAAGTGAAAATGGGATATACTCTCCCTAAGTAACTAACTTCACCATAAATCTTTATCATTACTATCTTAAGATTTCATTTTTTTTGTGTGTGCAGATTCGTTCGATTTTGAATTATTTTTTTAAATCATAATGCAAAGTAAGACATCTCTCCTCAGCCTTTCCAGATATTTTAGATTAATTATGTTATACCCCGTTATAAATCTATCAAAATGCTTGTGACTCTTGCTGATATGGTTTTTCTTGTGTTCTGTTTACTTTTTTATGATTTATAACAAAAAAAGACTATTTATAGTGACAATTCTGAATGTCACACCAAATGCTTTAGTGTCACACTATACGATGAACAGCAGCATACCACATTTGTCAATGCAAAACAGTGTATTTTATATGCATTCAACATCCAACTACTTAAATCCAGTTAACATTAATAAGAATAAAAATCAAACATACTAACATCGTTTTAAAACTTTTAAAATGTTATTTAAGAAACTCAGAAATATGAGTAAATCAACCATCTCACGTCAAGAACATGAACATTTTAAAATTAGAAGAGAGTGTGTGTTGTAACAACAATTATAATTGTTAAATAGTAAAAATATTATCAATCTACAATTAGTCAAATGTTGGAGACATTTCAAATGATATCAAACATGTATAGTGTTGTATGATAATTGTTCACATTAAACCATATAGATTTTTGGGCGAATTTCAGGTTGTTTCAACATCTAGAGAGAAGAGATTGGGGAAGAGGGGTGAAGGGAATGAGATTTAAATTAAGACAATACTGAGGTGATCGGATTTGGACTGACAGTGTACAAGTGTTTATGACCGTATGAAATTTATGAGGCTATGATATATAGATATATAATATATAGCATATATAATGAAAACAAGACAGGGCCCAAAATGGACCCTTGTGGAACCCCACTGGTGATAGGTCCTTTTACCTACAATTACCAATTAAAACGATTACCAATCTTCACTGTAAAATATCTTTGCTCCAATCAGATATCAAATCTGACACAAATCTGGATATGAAGATTTGCGATACTCAGTATGGACAGTTAATAATTTAGATCAGATTCCAATCCCTATAGAAGGTGTCTGTTCTGTGTGAACTGGCATGATCTCTTTACTTTTTCCTCCTTTCCCCCAGGACCTCCTCTCTCCTTGCATGGTCAGCATTGGGTTTTTCCCTGTATTTTTGTGTTCTCTCTTTACTTGACATTTCTGCCTGACACAGACAAAAAAATTGCATCTTTTAAAGGGTTAGTTCACCCAAAAATGAAAATGTCATTAATGACTCACCCTCATGTCGTTCCAAGCCTGACCTCCGTTCATCTTCGGAACACAGTTTAAGATATTTTAGATTTAGTCCGAGAGCTTTCTGTCCCTCCATTGAAAATGTATGTACGGTATACTGTCCTTGTCCATTGAGTCATTAATGACATAATTTTAATTTTTGGGTGAACTAACCCTTTAATATGCAAAGCATGGCAAACATGGTGAAACATGGTTAAATTAAGTATAAAATCGAAAAGGGAATACATTAATTGTATGGGTAATTTAATGTTCACCATTAAATTCATTCAATATGTTTTGAATATTTATTTATTTATCATTAAAAAGGTGTATGTAATATTGTGTGACAAATATATCATATAGTGTTACTTGGAAAACTGGTCACACCATATGATACAGTGTCACACCACATGATGTTTTATTCAGTTCAAGCTAATCTCTTGGTTAACTAAAAACATCTAGCTTATACTTCGCATGTAAATTGCCACATGGTAGCAATGATTTTTAAGAATTAATAAGTAAAATTTGTAAAAAAAAAAAAAAAAGTGTCATTTTTTGGTAAATAAAAAAAGAGACAAAACATTGACCACTAGTGAGCATATCAGATACAGAACTTTTTAATTAAAAATTAAGAAGTCAGAATTCACCTCTTGAACTTCCAAACCACTCCAGAGATGACATCGCAACTTTCTGGTTGAGTGTGGACCTCTTCATCATAATGATGT